CGCACACACACACAAACGCACACACTCATCAATACGCCCATACACACACAACGCACACACACAAACGCACACACACACACTACGACAAACGGCACACACACAAACGCAACCACACAAACGCACACACACAAAGCGCACACACACAAACGCACACACACAAACGCACACACACAGAAGCGCACACACACAAGAGCCGCACACACAAACGCACACACCCACACAAACGCCACCACACACAAACGGCACACACACAAAAGCGCCACATTGGGAGGCCACAGCTCACGTGGAAGTATTGTGACTTAATTAAACGAAAAACCGGATTTTTTCGTAGTGGGTGTGCGTCCGGCGTCATGCGGTTCCTGTATTTAAGATATTTTTTACTGTTGGTACTCGGGCAGTCACGAGATATACAATTACCGATAAAGTAACTTTTTAAAATAACTTAAAAATAACTACCTTATGGAGTTACTTAATCGAGCCAAGTAGTAACTCCATAAAGGTAAAAGCTTATTTTGAAATAATTGGGAATTTTATGCTTCTATTGCCAAGTCCAGGATTATTCTCTTACAATTTTCGAGACGCCACAAATGACCAGGACGAACAGATGGCCGCAAAGCCATAATTGAGTAATTATTTAGGAGAGGTGAAGAACGCCCTGTTAGGATTATTACGTATAACATTAGCGGTGAGGGGAACGGCATTAGCCATCACGACGGGAATTCCATGTAAGCAGGAGCGGGCCCTCGCTAATAATGTCAAGAGTCGTCAAACCTGTGAAATCTAGTAGATATCACCATTATCTATCTTAGACCACAACATCCTTTCCTTTTATTCTTCTTTCTAACACCTATTATTAGCTATGGGCAGATCCAGTTATCCCTGATTCGTACTACGTTTCTGACTTGAACTACACATACGGAAGCTCTCCGGCGCCCGCACGAGGATTCAATATTTCACCAACAAGTAGAATCGATTTTTTCTTATTCCACGATATGCGGGTACTACAACTACGAGATCAGAAAACAGCTCTTTAGTTCTATCAGCCCTGATCAATATCGCTATCATGTGTTTATGGTCTGATCTGTCGTCACAACTAGCTTTATATCCGCGATGCGTGCAAGGTAAGATCGCGGGATGGGACTCCACGCCTGACGGCTCAATCGTTGTATTAGTTGACTTCGTATTGTATTGCTCTCCGGAGCATTTTACTATATCCATGATGACGTTAGGACCCTATCGCGACCTCTTATTTGCTAAGCTTGTGTCAGTGTATTGATTTGGACGATGTTCCGATTGTGGTGATTCTACATTACCGCATTAACTGATCTCATTAACCTAAATTACTCACTTCTATTGATTGAGCATCGAAGACATCTAGTCCAGTCCCATCATTTCAGTGAGTCCGGAATCAAGTGAGGCGAAGTGAGCTATAAAAAAAAAAAGTAGATTATTTGATAATAATAATTGATAACTACTCTGATCGAGTGTGTATTGATCGAAGATATATTATCAAAATTCAGATTAGTTTATTTACTTTTATTATCGATTATTATCTTCATCATCAGTCATATTGCTTAATTATATGGATTATCATTGATGTGTTATTATGTATTACGCATAACGGGGATTATTATGATTCTACTTGCCAATTGATAAAATAATGATGATTATGATGATGATGATAATAATTATTATGTATTACAATTTTACTAGCTAATATTATGTATTATCATCATCACCAGATGCGAGTGAAGAATAGATTGAGTCAAATCATGTATCGTTATCATATACGTATTATTTAGATTTTCTGTATCGAGTTATTGTACATTTTTTTACTAGAATTTCGATTATCGTTGAGTTATTCTTATAGAGTGTGTTTCTGTCTTATTATCCATGTATTGTTTTTATTAATCATTGATTATTTTCATTGAGAGAGTTATGAGGTTGGGAGTGGAGATCGGGTGTGGGGGAGTATTATACATTTGCGTTATTGATGTTGATTATTAGCCAATGAGTAGATTCTCATAGAGCATTAGTACTTGAATTCGGGGATGAGAGGGAGCATTATGACGGAGTTGAGTAGTTATCGGGAGAGAGATTGAAGAAATTAGTGGAAGTATCAGTGAAGAATAATCAGATAGATCAATACGATGATAAGCTACTGTAGATGCGATACATCGTGTGATGAACGTTAAGATTTGCGTGATCAGTAATATTGGCCATTTAGATGTAGGGTGGCGAGAGATTAGGCGTCCGTGTCTGTGGAATGCGGTAGATGAGTAATAGAATAGAGTGTATAAGATTGAGATGAGTGAATCGTCAGGAGAAGATGATAACGATCGAGAGCACCGAGAGAGCAAGCGAAGACGCGCAACGCACGAACGGACACACACTCTACAGCGACACAGAGACGAACGAGACCAAGCGCGAGAAAGCACACAACAGACAAGAACAACACGCGCAAGCAGCGACGACACGACACACACAACAGCAACACGAACCAAGAACCACACGACACAACAGGCAAACAACACACAGCACACAAACACACACAGGCACGGACAAACACTGGCCGCGAAATGTCACACAATTATTACCATTTGATAAAAAAAAAAACAAAATAAATAAAATCTTTCTTCCCCAGGTCAGTGCAGTGGGACGGAGACCTTCGAAAAGGTTACCAGAACGACAGTCAGAGGCATCACAGGGATTCCTCTCTTCTCGAACGCTGGCAACACTGTCACCAGCGACTGTCTGTCCAGGTGGGAAATTTTTTGTTTTTCTTTTTTCTTTTTTCTTGTACCGCTATTTTCTTTCTGTTTTTTTATTTATTTATTTATTTTTTATTTTATTATTATCATTTTTTTAAAATCTGCCGGTTAGATATTCATTTTGTTGACATTTATACTGATATATCATCGTCATACCTGCTATTTATCCGCGTAAATTGTTCGTTTTATTTATTTGGAATCATCATTCAGTGTGTAATAATTGTTCCTTTATCTATTTATTTACCAGTCATTTATTTACGGTATCATTTGTGTATCAATCTGTTTAATAATATACTCTGAACATTATCATATTATAAACATTACCATAACCACTATTTTTTTTTCTATTTATTATTTACATAATTATTGTTATTATTATGATTATCATTGTTATCATCATAAAGATAGTAGTAATAATAATGATGATAGTAATAATGATGATAATAACAATAATGATCATTATCATTGTTATTTATTATCATTATTTTTATCATTATCGTTATTGTTGTATCATCATCATCATCACCCTTATCAACCCCTTATGATGTTATCACCATCCTCATTATTATATACATCTGATTAATCCCTTACCATCATTTTGTCGTCATTATTGCCATCACAGATCCTAAAATAACCCCATAAATGCGCTTTACAACCATTAGCATTATCAAAAATATATAAAAGGTGATACATTTTCTTCATTACCAACACCTTAATAACATAACAATTATTAAAGAAATATAATGAGCGATTACTCACCATGTTACTGCCATTAACATTACCTTAAGTCCTTAATTAATCGCTTACAAACCCCTTATCACCATTACCATTACCATAAATCCATCCATCCTTCTCATCATCTTACCATTACTTGAAAGCCCAAAAATCCCCCCCCCCCCCCATGATCCTCACATGATGATTCCAACAATCAAAAATCGCCAAGGAATCGCCTTTTCCTCACCTCTACCATTACCATACTTAAAAAATCCCCATAAATCCCGTGTCTTTACCTCATCGCCATTACCATTCCTTATTAATCCTTATTAATCCTTGTTAATCCTCTGACCCTTATCACATTACCTGTTGCCATTCTTTAAAAGATAATCCCTAATCAGTTCTATGGCCTCATTACTATTCTAAAAAAAATCCCCAGTAAATCCCTCTATCCTCATCTCATCCCCCATTTTAAAAATCCCAACTGTATCCTTCCCTCAATTACCATTACTTTTCTTTTTAAAATCCCTAATTAATTCCATGCACTTACCTCATTACCATTACAAAAAAACAATAATAATAATAATAAAAATAAAAATCCTGATTAATCCTTATCCTCAGCACTATTACCATTACTTTTGGTGATTTTCTCTACCATCGCACCATCACATTACAGTCTTTCACCATTCACCATTACCATTCCTTAAATTCCCTAATGAATCCCATATCTCCACCTCATTGCTATATCCACGCTTTAAGAATTCCCATACCATCCCATACCATTACCCGATTCCCATTACCATATATCAAAAAAACATAAAATAAATAAATGAATAAAATACATATAAATAAAAATCTCTTCAGATTCCCTGCATAAAATAGATAAATAAGTAAATAAAAATCTCTTCAGATTCCCTGCATAAAATAAATAAAATAAATAAATAAAAATCTCTTCAGATTCCCTGCATAAAATAAATAAATAAATAAATAAAAATCTCTTCAGATTCCCTGCATAAAATAAATAAATAAATAAAAATCTCTTCAGATTCCTGCATAAATAGATAAATAAAATAAAAATCTCTTCAGATTCCCTGCATAAAATAGAATAAATAAATAAATAATCTCTTCAGATTCCCTGCATAAAATAGATAAAATAAATAAATAAATATCTCTTCAGATTCCCTGCATAAAATAAATAAATAAATAAATAAAAATCTCTTCAGATTCCCTGCATAAAATAAATAAATAAATAAATAAAAATCTCTTCAGATTCCCTGCATAAAATAAATGAATAAAAATCTCTTCAGATTCCCTGCATAAAATAGAAAAATAAATAAATTAAAAATCTCTTCAGATTCCCTGCATAAAATAGATAAAATAAATAAATAAAAATCTCTTCAGATTCCCTAATGCATTCTCCCGCCAACAGATGTCGCCAGTCCCGCAGCTGCTCGGGGTTTCTATTGAACTACGACCGAGAATCCTGCTTCCGCTTGGACAGGGTCGCCTACAGCTCGGGGGCGGCGCTCCAGCCCACGCTCGAGCCCATTAACTTCTTCGAGAAAATCTGTATTACAGGTGAGGTTGGGGAAGGTGTGTGGGTTGGCGAAGGGGGGGGGGGAAGGGGGGGAGAAGGAGAGGGAAGGGGTGGGAGAGAGGGAAGGGAGGTAGGAAAGGAGGATGGAGAAAGGAAAAGAGAAAGGAGAGAGAGAGAGAGAGAGAGAGAGAGAGAGAGAGAGAGAGAGAGAGAGAGAGAGAGAGAGAGAGAGAGAGAGAGAGAGAAGAGAGGGGGGGGGGGGGGAGAGAGAGAGAG